ATTGTGTTGTAAACTTTAAATGCTTACAAAAACTTTTTTTAAAACTGCGGGCCCATTTCCCAGGGCACCCTCGTCACACAAGAAGATATGGATAGCCTGCTCTTCCTTCCCTTGGCTTCCCGTGAGCCATGTGTTCTGTGTCACCTGCCCCTACCAGGGTTGTGTGAAGATGGGAGCTCTGGTCCAGGTAGAAACAAATCCCTCGTGAAGCAGTTTTTCCTGGGAGTCAGAAGTGACACATCCACTCTTGTCCTAACCCTCAGCTCCTGCCTCACCTCCCATGCTGGTTCCAAGTTTGACTATGTCGTGCACACAGTTAAAGACCACCCCCAAAATACTTTCCTGCTTTGGCTCACTTTGTATGTTTGCCCTGTTGCTAGCTGGGTGGACGGGAGGTTGGAAAGGGCGCATTCGGACTTTGACCTGGCCTCATCTGGACCTCAGACCTTGCCTGGGTAGGGGGCCACCCAGACCCCCATGAACAACATATACCGAGTCCAGTGTGAGCCATGGCCACCCCAGATTCTGAATGGAGCATTTACTTTTCAGTCACCCAGCTTCCTTTAGCTGTAGGCTTCCATAGTTGGGAGTCCCTGACTCCCATAGTTGGAATGAACACAAGAAAAATAGTCTGAAGCTGTTGGGAGGAAAATTGCCCCAGCTCTGGCCTGCACCTGAAGTCTAGGGGCTGTGCGAGTACACATTTGTGGGAATAAATAAAAGACCAGAGAAAATGTTCTGGCAAACTCCGGATTTGTTTTAATGATCTTGAGTGCCTCACCCAGAAGACTCACTCTTGGGTCTTGGGTTTTGGGTCTCATGGTCACCCCGGGAGAGGACTAGGACTTTGATGGATCTTGCAAAATGTTTCAGCAGACATTTGTCATTGTGTCCAGCTTAACAATGATTTCTTCCCCTGACTGAGGGGTCCCTGGAGAGCCCAGGAGTCCCAGAGGAGGATGGACAGGAGGGTCCATGCATGCCAGGCTGGGGGACCCGAGAGGAGCAGGGAGTTGTCAGTAGTGCACATGGAGGTGGGGATAGGCTGGAAGAAAAGGGAAGGGGTGTGGCGGTGTAGTCTCTTCATTTGCAGAGAGGACTGGGGAGCATCTGGAGAGCCACCCAGCCAGGCCAACTACCCAAGGCAGTGCATGTTCCCATGCAAGTCTCAGGTGTGGCCTGCCACAAAAACCGCACACACGCACATGCACATGCACAGCTTTCCTTGAAGGGGAGACGTGCAGTTTCATTTTCTGGCCAGCGTCAGGGCTCCCCATCGTGTGCCCACCTACCTTGGGGGTGTACAGCCCTGCTCTGGTGCGAGGACACATGTGTGAGTGTGAGCTCTGGGGACAGCTCTGTGGTCTCCTCAGTCACTGAAGCAGCTGTGACCTACGAGGCTAGGCAGTGTGGCACATTGCCCGGCAGGGTACAGACTGACCGGGGACCTCAGGGACTGCGGGCAGGGCCGGCAAGAGCTGAGGGAGCCTGCATGGCCCTCACGCGGGTCTCCTCAGCAGTCTGTCGCCTTCGACCTGCCTTCACATGGTGGGTTGTTCCAGCTTGGGCTGAAAGCATCCTGGGACCTGTTTTAATCAGGGATGGGAGACTTGCAGTCGGACAGGACTGTTTGTAGTAGTAGGCTCGTGTCCACAGATCCCCAAAAGAGGAGGCAGAGCAATGGGTCCCGGATCACCCACAATGCCGTCCAGCTTGGTGATGCATCACAGGCTCTTAGCGCCCTCTCATGTGAATTTTCTAGAATGACTTATAGGGTCACTCATCTTCATTTGCTGATTTGTCACGAAAGGCATGTGCGCAGGTGAAGAGGGAGAAAGGTCCCAGCACAGAAACCTTTGGAGTCTCCATGGAATCAGGGAGTGCCCCTGACCGGTACATGGGTGTGTCCACCAACATGGACATTCTCGAGCCCCACTGTTTAAGCCCATTCTTGAGGCCCAGATCCAAAGGCACAGTTAATAGTGTCAACCTCAGAGCTGGGGACAGGGCTGGAGGGTGACTTCTGATCCCATGGATGCTCCGCTAGCCACTGGCTCCATCCCAACATTACCTCAAGTATCTCATGAACAAGAGGACACTCAGTACTTTGGAGAATCCAGGGGTCTCAAAAGCTCTGGGGTCAGTAGCTGGGGATTAAGAACAAGTCCTGGAGGAGAGATGTCCTGCCACCTTCACACTCAGGCAGCTGCAGGAGCTTCGAGTCTTTGTGCTGGGAATGGGACTGACCGGATAAGCATCTCCTTGGTGTGTCTCAGTCCAGATCTCCCTCCTGTTCATCACAGTCACCTCCCCACCTCACTAAGTCCTCGCCCTGCCACAGCAAGACCTTCACCCTTCCCCAGAGCCTGCCTCCTCCTCTGCAACCCTTGTCTGTCCGCCAGCTCCATCATTCCTAGTCCCCTTAGACTGACTACAGCCTTTGGCCTCCTTCCTCCAGCCAGTCTTAGCTGTCACTCAGAGGAGCTGTTGCACCAGAGTCCAGCATCATGTCCCGCCCTCTGTCCCTGGCTCTGATGCCACCCATCCCTCTCCTGGTGGCATCAATTTCCCTTCCTGAGAGTGGTATTCTGGCTCCTGTGATCTGGCTCCAGCCGTCCTTCTTCTCCACCTTGGATCTGCAGCTTGGGCAGCTTTCCTCTGTCCGCCCAATTCCTAGAATGTTTGGTCTGAGGCTGGGCGTCATCTGGGTTGGCAAGAAAGATGTCACGGGCACGCAAGCATGCTACCAAGCATGGTGACACATGAAGTAGCTGTATTTTGCCAGATCTGCCCTCCTTGCCAGGACATGGGGTTGGGTGCTCCCACCTTCCTCCCATCCCCACTTTTTTGTTGGCATCACAGGGCCTCCCTCCAAAAGCCCTTCTTCCCTGTCTGCCTCCGCAACTTGAGGGCTGACTCCCTGAAACTTTCCAGCCTGGCTAGCTGTTTCTGTCTTCTGATTTCTGACCTGAGTACCCCATTGTTGGTATTCTCACTCTCTGGCTACACAGGAAGCTTCTAGAAGATGTTTTGCCCCTATGTCTCCAAAGAGGCCCCTATGTGGAGTAGGTGCCAACTCTAACCTTCATGGCACCTACTTGAAGTCAAGATCATATATTAGCCCTAACCCTAACCTGTGATTGAGCAGCATGGTCACAGCAGCCCCAGGGCACCTGAGCACGGCCCTTCCCCTACCCAGCCCCCTTCCCAGCATGTCCTGTGACCTCTCAGAAGCATGTCACAAGAGATTTTGTCAGAAGGCCTGGATGGTGGGCCACAGGCTGTCACAACCTGGCCAGGTCTGGTAGGAGTGGCCCCACCTCCAACAAACTTGGGTAAATATGTAACTGGACCCCACACTGACTGCTTAGCAGTAGAACTGCATTGATCTCAGGCCTTCCTGGAAGGGGCCCAGCCTGACAGTCCATCCTGGCCAAGCTGGGTGGCCAGGCCCCTACCCGGGTCCCTCCTCCCCGCCACCCCCAGCCTGTGTACAGAGTGGCTGGGAACAGATCCATCCCCACCCCTTGGGTATAAATGGGGCCTGTGCAGCCAGCCAGGGAAGAGCTGCGCTCCTCTGTCCAGGAGAAAGCAGGTAAGTGGAGCCCTGGGCTCCTTCCCCAAGACTCCCTGCTACAGCTGAGTTGAGAGCAAAGAGGAGAGGCAGGGTGGGGGGCTGCAGGAGGGGCTGGCTAAATGGCATTAAGCATTCATTCAGAGCACAGGGCCAGGGTGGGTGATGGCCACTACCACGGGGACATGGTCACTGAGCCGCCTTTCCCTGCAAGCCTGTCCTCCCCAGGGCCTCCCATCCCCTGGCCGCAGAGCAAAGGTGGCCAGATCCTCCTGCTTCTTGGCAGAGCAGGGTCTCAAGGGCAAAGAGACTGGCCTAGGGTCAGCGTCACCCTGACCAAGAGCCCATGGGGCCTTTTCCAGTGCCAGGGAAGAATGAGGCTTTGTTGTATGGGCTACAGGGCTGGTGGGGAAGTGGGGTCATGGGGCTCACCCAGGGAGATACAGTCACCTGTGGCTCTCAGGTGATGTCTCTGGTCCTGGACTCAATGCCAGGTCAGGGTGATCTGGCTTCTCACTACATCCCCAGCATCAGGACTTGCTCCTGTCACTGGGCTCCCAACTACCCCAGGCTCCAGAGGTAGAAGGGCTTTCCAGCCACCAACAAGGCAGGTTTTTGCTTTGCCAAGAGGCAACATAGATTGGTGCTGACATACCACCTACAGAATCCAGGCTCCTCATCTGAGTTCTAGTTCTGTCTCTTACGTCTGTGTGACCTGGAGCAAGTCACCAAACCTCTCTGCTCCACCATGACACAGTATTAATGACTTCACCTGACAATCCCTTACTGGGACTTGTCACGTCTGGGACCATCTTGGGGATGCAGGCCTTGCTTGCTAGGGGAGGGGGCCACTTTCATGGGGCCTGCTTTCTCATGGGGGAACAGACATCCAGGTGAGAATAAATACACGGCTACAGTGAAGAGGGTTTGGAGGTGGCAAGTGCTACGCGAGAGGGGGTGTGGGAGGCACTGAGGGGGAAGGGCATTCTGGTGAGAGTTTTCCCCATGGCAGTGACTGGGACCTCATCCAAGTGACAGCACCCCTCAGTGGCACCTGTGTCTCATGGGTGTGGGCACTGGTAAGCAGATCCTGGCTGCCCCTGCCCCTGATGATCCCACCTGACTCGGTTTACATCAGCACGAGCAGACACTGCAGGCTCCTCTTGTAGGAGCCCCGCTTTTCCATGCCTAGTGGCCTCCTGTGAGAACAGTGGGCTGAGTCAGAGGCGGGTGAGGTGGTGGCTGATCAGAAGTCAAAGGTCTCCTCGTGGTCGGGTGACCAGGGCAGAACAACACACTTTGAAATTCTGTGGATTCACCATGTAGGGGGCAGATACAGGTCTCATAAGCTGAGTGTGGGAGGTGGGGCACTGCATGTCAGCCAGCTTTAGATCTCTGTAGGAAATTCCGATAAATTAATTTATAAAGAGAAAAGTTTTGTGTTGCCTCATGGATTTCAAATTTCCAGTCTGAGCTGTGATGGATTCATTACTTATTTCTCTGTGGAAGGTGCGGATGGAAATTAGAGGTCAGCGAAACAAGACCCTTTCTCCTAATGGTTCTACCACCTCCCACCAGCACCATGCTGGAGACCAGGCCTTTAACTTATGGGCCTCTGGGAGACAACCATCCAAGCCACAGCACAATGTAAGATGGATGACTGGGCATACACAGGCAGGGCAAGGAAAGCCAGATGTCGAGGTGTCCTTGACTCAGGGCTGGGATGCAACCCTTCCAAGGAAGCCCTGCCCAGAGCTGAGGACCAGGCCCAGGCTACCTACCACAGCCAAGGTTGGAGCTAGGGCTCATGAGATGGGGGATACTGAAACCCAACTGTGCATGGCAGTGACCTGAGAAGTTAGCAAGTCTGGCCCTGCACAGGCCATCGAGGCCGACTGTGAGCGAGTGAGTGAGTGAGGTAGGCAGAGTCCTGGATCCCCCTGGGGCCCACTAGGGTACAGCAGAGCTGGTTTGGAGCTTGGGATGACAGTGAAAGGCCTGGTCTTGGGTTGAGCTCACAGTGTTCAATCCTGGCTGCATGGTCAAGATCTGGGGACTCTAGAACCTGTCCCTGGGGCCCACCCCAGGGCCATTAGATTATCACGGAGTAGGGAGAGGGCTCCCTAAGGATCTGCATGTATTGCATGTACTAGGTCCTCTAGGGGAGAAGTGACTGCCATCATCATGGGTGTGACTTGGCCTGCCAGGGCTGTGGTAATGAGTGCCACAGCTTGGGGGCATCAGTAACAGAATGTACTGTTTCCCATCCTGCAGGGCAAAAGTCTAAGGTCAAGGTGTGGATAAGGCTGGTCCCTTGGCTTGCAGATGGTGTCCTCCCCCTGTATCCCTACATAGTCTGTGTGTGTGTGTCCTGATCTCCTCTTATTATTATAAGACACTGGTTAGATGGGATCAGGGTTAACTGTAAGGACCTCACTTTAACTCAGTCACCAAGTCTCCAAATACAGTCTCAGGTCCTAGGATGAGTGTTCCAGTGTATGAATCCACAGGGCAAGCTCAGCCTGTAATGGTGTGTTTGGCACTTGGACCGTGTAGATGCTTTCCATGCAGCTCTGAGTCCATTTGGCTGCTTAATACCCATAGACATGGATGTATTTCTCCAAGTCCACTTGGCTGCAGGGAATACTGGGATGGTCAACGGTCTGGGTGGAGGTCACTGGAGAACCACCTTTTCCCCCTCACACAGTGTTTTTCAGAGCACAGAGATGATTCTCACCAGCGTGGGCCTCAAGGCCACCATCCTTTTCCTCCTGGCCTGGGCTGGCCTGGCTGCTGGCGATCGCGTGTACATCCACCCATTCCACCTTCTCTTCTACCCCAAGAGCAGCTGTATCCAGTTGGAGAAGTCCAATGGGGAGACCCCCAAGGAGTCAACCTTCACACCCATCCCAGTGCAGGCCAAGAGTTCCCCTGTGAATGAGGCTGCCCTGTATGAGCGGCTGGTGCTGGCCGCTGAGCAGCTGACAGCTGAAGACAGGCTGCGCGCCACCCAGGTTGGGATGATGGCCAACTTCCTGGGCTTCCGCATGTACAAGACCCTGAGTGAGGTGGGGAGCACAGCCAGCGGGGTCATCCTGTCCCCTGCGGCTCTCTTTGGTACCCTGGCCTCTCTCTACCTGGGTGCCCGGGACCCCACAGCCAGCCAGCTGCAGGCACTACTGGGGGTTCCCATGCAGGACCAGGGCTGCACCTCCCGGCTGGATGGGCACAAGGTCCTCTCTGCCCTACAAGCTGTTCAGAGCCTTCTGGTAGCCCAGGGCGAGGCCAGTGACCAGACAAGGCTGTTACTGTCCACTGTGGTGGGCCTGTTCACGGCCCCGGGCCTGCGGCTGAAGCAGTCATTTGTGTTGGGCCTGGCTCCTTTTGCCCCTGTCATCTTCCCCCGCTCTCTGGACTTGTCCACCAACCCAGATCTTGCGGCTGAGAAGATCAACACGTTCCTGCAGGCTGTGACAGGGTGGAAGATAGGTGGACCCCTGGCAGGGGTCAGCCCAGGCAGCACCCTGTTGTTCAACACCCATGTCCACTTCCAAGGTAAGACCAGCCCCCAGGCTGCCTAGCCCTGGCTGGTGCCCAAGGGTGCTGATCCCGGCCCCCGTGACTTTCGTGCCCGGAGTGTGGGCTTCCCCAAGCAAGGCAGCTCATGGGGATGGGAGTGGCAGCCATATGGAAGGAGTTGAGGCCTCCCTGGAGGAGGTGGGAGGGGACTTCCTGCCAGGTTCTTAGGTGGGCGCCCACCCACCCACTGCCTAGTACATGTGGGTCCTGGGGCAAGCCTCCACTCTCATCATTTAGTCTCCTCTGAAGAGGGAAAGATATTTCATGCTTCTGTTTACTGGCGAAGCAGTGGGGACTCAAAGGAGCAAGAATCTTACTCAGGAGAACACAGCCCCAAGCAGGTTCCTGGGATCAGCCCATATACCCTGCCCACAGCCAGCTCCATTCCAGGACCAGGGCCTCTGGCCCACGTAGAAGCAACCAGTTTGTGGGCTACAGTGTGCTCAGTGGTGGCTGCTTGCCTAGCTTACATTGCTTTCACATCAGGATGGTTCTCATTAGCACATCCCTACTATAAAGACTGCTCATTCATGCAATGAATTTAATTCTCCTATGTGTAAGACTGAGTTGGCTGTCTCAGATGGGCAAGAGGAAGCTAACCCAGGTCACGCGTTAAAGACAGGCAACAAGTGACCCCAAGAGCAGGAGCCTGGTGTAAGCTGAAAGTGAAAGAGCTCAGAGAATAAAGGCCATTGCAGAATAGAGGGAAGGCTAGAAGTGCCTGGGGAAGAAGGAAAGAGGAATCATCTGAGCAAAGGCTATGGGGGTGAGGGCAGAAGAGAGGGTGGAGCAGCTGGCTCAGCCAGAGCACAGGATGAATCTGAATGTGTTGCAGGAAGGAGGGAGCTTGTGCCTGGTGGGGACTGAAGAGAGGAGTCCTGCTCAGATCCATCCCCGCAGCCCACAGCAAGGACTGCATGTAGGCAGCAAGGACATCCAAATGCCATGTGTGACAGTGTGACAGCCCGGGCACATGGTCACAGGGATGTGCACCAGATCTGTGCATTGATGGGTGGCTGGCTGGGGAGGAGAGTGTTGACAAGGTTCAACAGGAAGATGCACAGCTTGGGGGCAGAGTGCCACACAGGCTGCTGTAGACAGAACAGTAGGGATAGAGCAAAGTGGGTTGTGCCTGATGATTTCCCACCATGACAATATCCTTGAATCTCTAAAGATCTTGTGTCTGCCTGTGAGTGCCAGGAATGGAGAGGCCAGGGGATTGTCAGGTACTGTCATGGGGGCAGAGGGAGGCCCACCTTGTGCAGAGCAGCGGGGAAATGGGGATGAGCCTGCCATCCCAAGACTCCTTGAGAAAGTGGTTCCCTGAGGTGAAGGCAAGAAATCCACTGGTGTTAAGAAAGGAATCTCGCCCGGGAAGAAAGCCCATCCTTGCAGTCCAGACTACAGAGCTGAAGAGGAGGAAGAGGAAGAGGAAGTCAGATTCAGAGCACTGGGCGCCGGTCCACCCCCTCGTTCTGTGCTGACCTTGCTGGTCTCAGCTCCCAGCAGATGGAGTTCCTCCTGGGCCAGTTTGTCCTTCTGTGAATGAATAGGCTGTCTTAGGCATTCTGGGTCCCTCAGTCAGGTTGGATGTGTGAAACTCAAGGTGTTAGGCCAAGGTCACAGGTGCCCTTTGCCAGTGGTTGGTCCCCCCATGCTTGGCAGGCTCCATGGCACCAGTTGAGTTGAACCACAGGAATTGACTTAACCTCAGAATGGGGCTGGCAAGTCAGGGTTAGACAGGGACGAGAGGGCACCACCCCCATGGCAGAGTCCAGCATTTCTCTGTTTTTGCTTTAGTTGCTAGGGGAGAAAGTCCAGCCCTTTCCCTCTTAAAGTAAAAAGCCTCTGTTGAAGTCCCTTGGGGACAGGCTGAGGGACACTCAGCTTCTTGCTCACATAGCCTTTGGGAGTGGCCGTTGTCTCCCCAGGGCTCGGAGCATGGAGGACCAGGCCCCTCCACCCTCACAAGTACTGGGCCCTGGTAGGGGCTTTAGCCAGCCCGTTCTTGCCAGACCCACATCAACTCTCCGTGACCCCACCTTCAGCTTGGGGACCCCGACTCAGGACGGCAGGAGCCTGGCCCCCTGAGCCCCCTCTCCAGCCAGTCACTGGCCACTGGGATGGGCTGTTGTCAATCCCTCTTCTCAGAACACCCCTAACGGTGCCCCACCATGACTGAATGTGCAAGAGGAAGGTCAGGGAGGGGTCGGGGTCATGGAGAGCCCCCGGCTAACAGTTGTCCTCTGCGCAGGCTGGCGGGGAAGCTCAGCCTGAAGCGCAGCCTGCATCTCTCTGCCTCATCCTCAGCCTGTGCGTGGAGACAGGGCAGAGAGCACTGCCCTGCACAAGGCCCATGCTCAGATCTGGGGTCACAGCAGGGTTGTCACTCATGGCCAGGGGCACTGAGAAGTGGGGCCTTCATTCTGAATCTTGGGTGCCAGTCTGATCTATGACTTTGGGAGGCGGGGGACCTGACACCAAGGACTGACCACCACAGGCTCTGTCACAGCTGGACATGGACAGGTGTCCTTAGAGCAGTGAGACGACTGTGTGTGACACGTGTCATTGTATATTATCCAGCCCTGCAGAATGCCCAATACCACGAGTGAGCCCTGTGTGAATGACCACGTAGCCTCGGGTGTAACAAATGGAGGCTGGGGGTGTGGCTCAGTGGTGAGTCCTCGCCTGGCATGTGTGAAGGCCTGAGCTCCACCCCCAGGGCGTGCACCCCCCCACACCCCTACACACAGTCATAGTAAACAGACTGTTGTGCTGTGAGGTGCTGATGGTGGCCGGCAGGAGTTATATGGGAGTACTCTGTACTTTCTACTCAATTTTGTGAACCTAACATGGCACTTTAAAAATGACTTATTTGTACAAATAACGAGTGTGGCAAACTAGAAGCTTGGGATGGGGGCAGATCTGGGTTTGGGTCCAGCTGGTCAGGTGGTAGTGGTTCAGAGACAACATCACAAGCTCAGGTCTGGTGTGGCCTGGCCAGGTCTTCGGCAGTGGCCGAGTGCTGTGGCAAGCTCAGTGGCTGGGTCACACAGGACAAAGACCTGAGCAGCATCGAGCTCTGGGTGGGCAGAGTCTGTGTCCAGGATGAAGCTGGCCCAGCGGGCAGGGAAGGGGCTGAAGTGGAAGTAGGTGGGAGTGGCCTGCCCCTTCCCTGGCCTGCCAATCACTGACCTCCCCTTCCGGCTCTGTCTGGATTCAGGGAGGATGAAGGGCTTCTACTTGCTGCCTGAGCCTCAGAAGTTCTGGGTGGACAACAGCACCGCGGTGTCTGTCCCTATGATGTCGGGCTCCGGCATCTTCCAGCACTGGAGTGACACACAGAACAACTTCTCAGCTACTCATGTGCCCATGGGCAGGAGTGCCACCCTGCTGCTGATCCAGCCCCACTGCACCTCCAACCTGGACCAGGTTGTGCCCCTAGCCTTGCACCGTGACTTCCTGGCGCAGATGAATAACCTGTCTCCCCGGTAGGAACCTCTGCTCTTCTGGAGAGCTGGGGTGCTGGACTGGCCCTCTACCCAGAGTAGGGTGGCTATAGTGCCACCTGGCTGGCTGGACTGGGTGGTCCCTGTCGTGTCTCCATTGCAGCATCAAGTGCTGGCACAGGAGGGGAAGTGTACTTCTCATATGAATTATTTGACCCCCAGTTTTGCAGGGACAGAAACACCTGACCTGCCCTGGTCCCACACACACACAGAGCAGGTCCAAGGCACCCAGAGCATCTTGGAATGGGTTTTAGGGGGCTGTGGGCCCCCTTGAGACTGGGGGCTTCCTCAGGGAGCTGGCCTTGAACCAGAGCTGATTGTGTGAGGCCAACAGGGGTGGGGGGGCAGTGCTTGCTCTGCTGTGACAACACGGTCCCTTTCCAAGCAGCTGGTCTCAACCTGCATGTCAGATCCAGTCTGGTGGGACAGCAGCCTGCTCCCAAGACATGAGTGGCATCCTCATGTCAACTTTGAGGTTTTAAAGTGTTTAAATGGGGGCAATCAAATATAGTCACAGTGCCACCATCACCACTGTCCATCTCTAGAGCTTTCACATCTTGCAGAACAGAAATTCGGCCCCATTACGCTCAGACTCATTACTCCATGCTCCCTGTCCAGTGTTGCAGCCCCTGCCTGTGTCCTCAGGGTTCACCTGAGCTGTCCCGCAAGACCACCCCTCCTCTTCATAGCTGCCTAACACCCACTATGCACACACGTTTTGTCCATCCACCGCCTGTGCATACACACAATGTGACAACATGCCACACAGGCTGCTGTCATGGTCCCTTTGCTGAGTCTGTCTCTATTCCAGGTGCCCTGGGGACAGCCACTTCTCATGACTTTAGATGGTGGCACTTCTTAGCTCTTTTCAGAACCTCTTGACATGCAGGCAGCCTAAGAATACTCAGGGACAGAGGGCAGCCAGTTGCTCATAATCAGCAAGGTCTCCACCTGCAGGGGCTCCTCATCCTTCTAGCACTATTTCAAGCAACCTGAATGTTCCACTGTGTTTGGAGCTGAGGTTTTTCTCAAGGGAGAGGATGTCTGGCTGTATGAAGGGCTGGACATTCCTTCTTCAGGGACAGTGCAGGGAGCCCCGGCTGTGGGCCCTGGATCTTTGCAGTTGGCTGGACTTCCAGGACCCCTAACCATGTCATCCCCCAGGGCCATGCGCCTGACCTTGCCCCAGCTGGAGCTGAGAGCATCCTACGACCTACAGGAGCTGCTGGCCTGGGCCAAGCTGCCCACCCTGCTGGGCACCGAGGCCAATCTAGACGGGATCAGCGACACCAGCCCAAGACTGGGAGAGGTCAGTGGGGAGCTGGCTCAAGTCCAATGAGAGGAGGCATGGGTAGGGCCAGCAGGGCTGAAGCCAATGGGGAGAGGGAAGAGGAGTCCCTTGCCGGGTCTGCTCTGCTACCTACTGCAGTACAGGCTGGACCTGTCAGCCTGCCTGGCTTCAGGGTCTTCTGGATCCTGTGGCAGGGCTGGGCTAGGATGAGGAAAGTGAGTGCCTGGGCCAATGCCCTGTCCTCTGGCTCCTTGAAGACATTGTCTCACCACCACTGGGAACGAGGCCCATTTGCAGTGCCAAGGACACCCTGCACACTCCAGGTGCTGCACAAGTGCTGGAGAGAGCAGGTCACTTCCAGGGCATGGGCCCTCTGCACTAGGTTAGCTGCAATGGAGAGAGCCAAAGCTCCCAGGGCTAGCAGGGTGGCAGGGAGAGGTGCATGTGATTCGGCATGGGGTGGTCAGTGTCCACATGAAGGATGTCTTCCTGACAGGCTGGACAGGTCCTCCTCCAGGGCATGGCTGTCCCACGCCCTCCCGGTGGGGAGGTCCTGGAGCCCTTGGGAGAGAAGCCAATGTCCACTGCTTTGCAGGTGCTGAACAGCCTCCTTTTTGAACTCAAAGCAGATGATGGGAAGCAACCTGTGGAGTCCACTCCCCAGGCAAGCACACCTGAGACCTTGGAGGTGACCCTGAGCAGCCCCTTCCTGTTCGCTATCCACGAGAGGGAGGCAGGTGCCCTGCACTTCCTGGGCCGTGTGGACAACCCCCTGAGCGCAGTGTGAGGTCAGTGCTTGCTGTCTGTGGGACAAGGCTGGCAGCAGAGCACCCCGCCATGTCAGTGACTGTTGCCCCTGGTCTTCTTCCTTTCCTTCCAAGAGTGACGCTGGGCGACAGCAATCTCCTCTGTAAACACAGTGCTATGGATAATGAGCAGCTGAATCAGCCTCCCAGGCCAGGTTGCTTGGAGGATGGGGGTGGGAGCCAGAAGCCAGTGTTTAGCATAGGCCTGTTCTGGAAAGAACGGGAACTGACCAACTTGTTTGTGAAACCAGAAAGAGTTAGCTTTTAAACTGAGAACAGAAATTGGGTTTTAAAATTAAAACACATTTGGTTTTATTGCTCTGGTTTTATATTTAGCTTGAGTGTGACCTTGACCTTCATGGGGTTTCCACAATATCTTAGTTGTTCTTTCCTGTGATTTTTGAAAAACACAAAAGATGTAAGAATTTGAATTTAGCTAGAATGTAATACCATAGCTGATTTATCTCTGTATTGTTAATAAATGTCTTGCAACAAGAAGCTAAGAGGATTCTTAGCAGCACAGAGACGTGCCATTCAGCTGACAGAGTGCTCTCGAGGTCCTTTCTGGGCTCTGTGGAGAGCCAGACCAGCACCTGATCGTCCTTGCAGAGCTTCCTGGCTTCCTGGACACCTTTGCTCTGATGGTCATGACCCTCTGAGGATGGCCAGGGCTGTGGAACCTGTCCGCACACAGTTCTGGGAGAGAAATGGGACCGAGGACATCCTCCACCCAGGACATGGGTCCGAGAGCTGTTCCTATGATGCAGGGGGTGGAGGAGAGAGCGAGAATCTTCAGACACATATTTGCAAATGCCTTTCCTTCGCTGGTGTCTCCCTGTTCCACTTGATGGGATTAGGCCCACGGCCTCTAACTCTGGGGTGGGCTGGAGGGAGGGCATCTGGCTGGCCAGTGACAGGGCTATGCTTCCTCCTGTCATGCGCTTGCCTTTCTCTGGGCACACATGCTGGAGCAGATGAGCAGTGCAGTGTGCTGGCTGCTGGGCAGAGCCAAGCAGAGGCTCCCACGGGGATCCCTGGCCACCACATGTGTGTTGCCTCCCTGGCTTCAGCTGGAGTGTGGGCTCTGCCTGCTCATGCACAACTGCATGTGCATTCCAAGTGGTGCCTCCCTTGGAACTGCCCAACTCCCTTGGAACTGTGTGTGGACCACAGCAGCTCTGAAGACAGACATGGCACGCTCCTGACTTGGGCCAGAAAGCTGTGCCATCCTCAGAATTTCAGCTTCTCCCCCGAGCCCCCCATCCTTGGACATTCCTCCCTGGCTCTGATGTCACTGGGCCAGCTTGTCCTCTCTGCCCTGTGGGTGAGGCCTGGTCTGACCTATGAGCACAGTGGGTTGGGTAGGTCCTGGCTCAGAGGTGGATCCAGCCTATGTACTGTTGTGTGACCAGGGGCCAGTTCCTCAGCCTCTCTGGGCCTCACTGCCCTGATGTGTCAAAGAGAAAATGCTGAGATGAATGAAATGAATAAATTAACCACCATTAAAAGAGGTCACAACCCCTGTTGGGAAGTCCTGTCCTGTGTAAGTATGGTAGAATGGGGGTGTGTACTGCCATGCTGGGGGCCACTCACTACTGAGGTCCACTATGACCTGTGTCTGGTCCCTTATGTGGAAAAGGGGTTTGCAGATGGGACTATAGCTCTAGAAGTGAGGATGATCCTGGGTTATGTGGGTGGCCTTAATCACAAGTACCCTTACAAGAGGAATGCAGGGTGAGAGCTGAAGACAGTGACTGATGCTATAATGGCAGATAGGAGATGGCTTAGTTACTTTTCTCGTTTCTGAGACAAAATACTCAACACCCAAATTTAAGGAGGAAAGGTTTATTTAGTTCACAGTTTGTAGAGGTTTCAGTCTATAATTGGCGGGTCGAAGGCAAAGTGGCATGAGGGGCATCACAAAGGAGAAACAGTTCATGGTGGGCGGAAGGCAGCAAAACAGCAAAGTAGCAAGCAGCAAGCAACAACCAAACACAGCAACTCTCTTTCTGACCAGGGCAGGTAGCACTCACACCCAGGGAGGGCCTTCCCATTATCTACTTCCAAAACTATGACAAACCAATCAGTGGAGTAATTTAGTAATCTCACACCCTTGATCCCAGCATCACATACTTAATCCCAGCATCACACACATTAGATCCACCCATCTCTGAAAAGCCCCACCTGTGACCCCATGAGCTTTGGTGGTGGTGGTGGGGCAGCTAGATACAAGCCATAATGAGAGAAGGCAAGTGCTACTTGGGGATATAGGCCAAGGATCAGAAATGGCCCAGGCAGCCAAAACAGTTGTGTGTGGGGGGGTGGCCCTTCCTCCAGCCCTCTTGCCCACGCTCAGGGGGTCCCTTGAACCTCAGCCCTGGAAGGCTTATGTCTGAGTTGTTTTAAGCCACTGAGCTTGTGGTGACTTCCTGCAGGACTTCTCTGTGCATCTGTGGACCCCCGGCCACCCTTGGAGTCCCTGGAAGGCTACCCCACAGGAGCAGTTCAGTTTCTGGCACTTCAGTGGTGGATTTGTGTTGCTGCTCTTGTCCTTCTTATGGGGATGTTGACCAGGCATGCACAGGGCTGGCACCAGGGGGCATAAGTCGGCCACCACTGGGGATACAGGTGGCACTGTGCCTGGGTAAAGCTGGAGGAGAGGCTCTCTGCTGTGTGCCTTTGGAGCCTGGCACTCTCCTTCCTGCCGCCAGTAGCACCAGGATGCGCCACACTCTTCCTCTTGAGGCCTGTCCCTCCCTCAGTGGCAGAGCTGGCCAGGGTGTTCCATCTTCCTAACTGCCTGCAGCTTGGTAGTGGGGCATGCAGTTCTGCTGCTGCTGGCTTGGCTTGTGACACTGGCTGTGGCCTAAGGATCTTGCTGCTTTCTCCACATGCATGACTGAAATGGAGGTGACCAGAGCCCCAGTTTGTGTGGGCTGGGGTCCCGCCACCACCGCAGGGCCTATTGTCTTCCACCATGACCCACTGTCCCCAGGTCTGTAGAGCTTACCTCATTCTTACCCTCTAAGGGCCAGGGTGGGGGTGGATTCTGCTACCCAGGCAATGCAGATGGCTGCAGGTGCCCAGTCTCTTGAGAGTTGAAGCCCAGAGATTACTCACAGGGAGGTCCTAGGACCTCAGCAGCTCTGTGTTTGGAGAAATGCAGTCTCAGGCCCCAGAGACATACAGAGCCAGAATCTGCATTTCGACAGGAGGCCCAGGAACACATCGGCGTTTGGGTTGCACCATGTTAAAACTGCACAAAATGTGCTCCAAGCACAGGCTTCTGGAAGGGGCTGTCGCCACAGCCAGTGCAGCTCCACTTGCTTTAAGCTCTCAGTGGATGACACATCTCCAAATTTGATTCCTAAAACCCCATGGGTACAGTCTAAGAGTAGGATGACCATCGGATCTCAAAGCCGCTTTTTCCAATTCCCCAGCACACTCCTTTCACAAGTGCTAGCACTGGGGCCAAACAGTGAGCTGGAGAGTCACTCTGCCCTAGTGGGTCCTGGAGTCACTATCAGGGTGTGGTCCTGGGATGAGAACTATGACTCTTATAATCACCCTAATGACTCCAGACAGCTGCTGTTGCTAGGTAGCTAAACATGTGGGGCGTGTGTGTGTGTGTGTGTGTGTGTGTGTGTGTGTGTGTGTGTTTTGAGAGACTGAACCCAGGGCTTTCACACTAAGGTACATCCCCAGATCTATTTCTATTTTGAGACAGGGTCTTGCTAAGTTGCTAAGGCTTAGCAAGACTGGGCTTGAACTTGTGTTCCTTCTGCTTCAACCTCAGAGTGCTGGGATTACAAGCATGTGCCCAGCACGTTTTTATTTGGAGACAGCTGCCAGTTGACTCAACTCCAGGGAAGGCTGCCACAGCACTGTGTTGCCATAGTTTCTTTGGTTGCATGCTGTGCTCTTGTAATTGGGACCCTTCTACATCAGGACAGGTCACAGGAACACCAAAACTTTGCAGGTTTGTGTTTGTGTTAAAACTTAACACAAAAGTATTACCGCTAGGGCTGTTTCTCTAAGACATTTCTTCACTAAATTCTAAGTCTTCCTGGAGTTGACAGGGTGATTACTCAGCAATGACAACTACTTTGAGGCTGAGATTTTGGCAGGAGATCCGGACTGGCCAGGGACATTTCACAAGCAGGCTGGTACTGGAGCTTTATGGCAGGCTTCAGTGGGGCACAATGGTACACTCAACTCTGTATCCCGGGGTCACCCCTGTCCTCAGATAACACCCTTAAAGCAGGTGAGAGACCTGAGTGTACGTGAAGGCACTCCAAATCCATTCTTGCCTTTTTCCGGGACTCACAGCTGGACTTCTTGTTCTCAAACCCTACAACGGAGCTGTGGACACTGGAGGGTAGGAATGCTATGTGTCACCCAAGCTAGGCCACACAGCCACTTTGTGGGGTGCTCCATCTCTTCTCCCTCCCTGGTGTTATAGTGGAGAGTGGGTGGGCTGAATGGCGGCTTCCAAGATACATCATGTCCAATCCTTGGGACCTTAGTGTAGGACAGCACTGGGAAATGGGCTCTGTGGTATAATCAGGTCAGGGATCTGCTAGTGAGATCACCCTTGTTGAATAGGATGAGTCTCAAACCCTGTATGGCTTCCCAAGTGTCCTGAAGCATCAGAAAGGGAGAAGGCCATGTGGAGTGGAGGCCGACTCTTCAGCTTTCAGAACTGCAAGGATAGGTTCCGTGGTAGTAATCTGCCCACGCAGGAAGTAAACACAGGTGGCCCCAGGGTGAACTTGGACGCAGGATGGAGGTGGTAGACATCCAGTTAGCTGGGGTCCCCAGGTGACTGCCTGGCTGCCCCATCCACATGTTACACCAGCAAGAACTTGTGTCTGAGACCATTTTGAACCTGTATGTTAATGCTGAAAACAAGTACTCTTTTACAGCAGAAGGTACTGTACTACTTTAAGATTGACTTATTGATTCTTTAAAGCAAAGCTAATAAAACCAAATCAAAGAAAGGAGAGCTGTTCTGGGGAGAGCTACAGACAAGCATTCTCAAACTTAAGATTCTGTTTCTGCAGTCAGAAGCAGATGCTATGACAATGAGGCTGTCACTCTCACGGGAGCTCAGAAAGCAGTGGTGTCGGACCCAGCTTGGTGGGTTGGGGCAGCATCTGGGCCCCATTCCGGAACACTGGCGTCTGTATGGATGCTGGCACTGGGGAAGGAGGGAGGGAAGGCTGCAGGACGCTGGCAGGGTGGGACTGGGACTATCCTGCCTGGGTTATGGCCCACTATATTTGTACGATAGAAATGATGCTGGAGTTGGGGGTCTAATAAACTTCCTCCTGCTTCCCAACAGGCAAGAATGGCAAAGTAGGGCAGGGGGCGGGGCCACACCAGATCTCCAATGGATGAAGGCTGGGCTGAAGGACACTCTGGCCAGGCCCTATGTGTGGGAGTAAACTGACCCCTCCCTTGGTTCCTCTCACAGTGCTCCAGCTCTTCATCAGGAA